TGTGGAGGTTTTCTCAAAATCGAGCTTGAAGATCTGACGAGTTCTTGAAGGTCTGACGAGCTTTGAAGATAAACTCGAGTTAGGGTTTTCAAACCCAAAACTCGAGCTTGAAGATGAACTTGAATATGGAATATATATGATTTGTGTTAATACCTCAGAAACAATTTCATGTTCGATTTTTAAAGATCTTGGTACGTGTTCTGATCTAACATACACACACCTCAAAAATCATTTTTAGAGTGAGAAATTGTGAGGTGTGTTCTTGAGTTTGAACAGAAGAAGATGAAGATGAAGAATTGATTTCCGGGTTTGAGTTGAGTTTGAAAATCGAACACCCACATGGGTTTATGTTCAAAATTTGTTTAGATCTAACAAAGAGACATAAGAAGAGAACAAACCCGAGTTCTTGAGTTCGCTGGAAAAATCATGTTCGCCGGAGAATATGACCGGAGCTTTGTCGGAGCAATCAAATATGCCGGAAACCGGCTAAACCTACTATTGCAAGTTATAAGGATGTTTTTTGAACGGTTCAACAAGTTCAATGGTAAAATATGAACAAAAAAAAAGTCAGTGACTAAATATGTACAAAACGAATAATAGAATACCCTTTTAAGTCATTATCCCTTCATTTAATAATAAAGTCGTAACAATTTATCTAATTCAAAACAATCACTTTTTTTTGGAAATAAGTTTGGAACACATTTCACACATAAACTTGCACCTTTCATTCTTTAACTTTTGTTATTTACATTCATGATTCAACATAATAGAAGTCATAGATTCGATCCAATTCCGATTCGATTCACCACATTTGTGGCCGATTGTTCACGTCAGAAGCCCACGCCCTCTGCCGCCGTGAGGAACTGCTAAAAATCGCCGGAATAAATCTGCTTCTATGGCTTACTCCATCATCAGAACTGGAACTCGAACTAGAGGACAAACCTCTCCGCCCTCGACCACCACCACTGAAACAAGAAAACATATTATTGAAAAACCGCCGCAATCCGCCATTTCCTCCACCACCGTTTCCTCGTAAACCCCATGACCTCCTCCTCCATGGACCTCCGTTGATGTTGAATCCACCGTCCATTTCAGTAAAAACAACTGGTATCTCTCTCTCCCTTCCCCTCCTCCCCACCGCAAAACCGCCGCCAGGCAGCCTCCAAATCGTTAATCCTGCTGCTACATCGTTATCGTCTGATACTGATTCTTGATTATCCGACGGCAGTTCGTGGCGGCAAACTGGGCATGAATTACGTAAACTTAGCCATGGAAGAATGCAATCCGAATGGTATAAATGCTTACAAGGCATTTCTTTAGCTTCTGTTTGTAATTCAAATGGGTCTTTACAAACAGCACAATGGGATTCGGTGAAAGTATGAATTTCTTGAATTTCAATCGTCGGAAGTGCTTCAATGGCGGCCTTTGACGCCGGGGGATTCTGGTCCATTCTCCCTAACCCATTCGCTTCAATTTGAGTCAATTGATCTAATAACCGGTCAAAACCAGCACCCAACAAAAACTCCGACATACTCACCGGTAATGGCCTCAAACCAGACCCAGCTCCGTCATCATAATACATCTCAAACCCTCTCCCGTTGCCGGATTCAACGGGCGGCGTGTTCCCGTTGCTGGCCTGTCCACGGACGACGATGACGGGGTTAAACGGCGACCGATCACCTGGGTTCCTTACAGTACGGCGAAGCACCGGTGGGCTAGGACTTGATACTGAGCTCTGTTGCTCGTTTCCGACCATGTATAGAGCCGCAGCAGGAAAACGTCTCCGGTGAGAGTCCGAAAGTGTTGATTCGGGTATCTGGGTCGGGCTACCGAGCTCCTCTATGAATCCACCGTTGCAATCCGGGCAAAAGAAAGAAGAATCTAACCGGTGAGTCGGAACATTGATAAATTGGCTGCATCTGTAGCACCAGTATGATGAGGATGAAGAGTCATCCATTGACATCTGTAATCTATAAACAGATCTGAAGAAAGCAATTCTTCAAAACCGGATAACCCAAATTGTTCCTCAGATTGAAAAACAGCTCAAACCATCATCGGCAATATCAAATAAAACGAAAACCCCCAAAAAATGATAATTTCTTGAACAAAACTCAATAATTAATCTTTTTCAACGCAGACAATTCCTTGTGTATTCTTTATGAAGAAAAAATGAAACCCCGGATTCCAAAACGACTATTTCTTCAACAAAACTGAGAAAACTAATCTTTTTGTACGAAAGAAACTCTTGGGTATGATTGATGAACCCTAGACATACAAATTAACATCCCCAAATTAGATGGGATGAACCCTAGATATCAAAATTGAATTGAAACGATGATAAAATTTGAGAATGGTCGGCGAACACGAATCTCTATCGGGGGTAGATAGAGTTTGGGGGAGAGGAGAATATATGAGGGGGGGGTAGGGGAGTCACCAACGGACACGTGGGACGAAGGCATGAGTCATTGTTGAACGTTGGTGGAAATTTTGAACATTAAAAATACACTTGGCTGCCATAAGGTTCTCTGATTCTTGAAATGTTCCCCTTGCATTATAATAAATAATCTCTTGCTTCCAAACTTGAATATTGTATATTTGCATGCGTGCTTGCTTTTGTTATCTTTTTTTGAAACTATTAAATATAAGGGTATGTAATTGCATATAGAAGTGTTAATTTTGTTATTTGGAAAGGTAAATATTGATATTCATAGCTTTGATCAAATAGTCATGAGGGAGGTTGTGGCCATCTTTGAAAGAAACTTAATAGATGGGGTAGTGAAAGTGTGATATTTAAAGTGCATGGTTTATTTGTATGATACCTAACAAGTATGAGGGGCAAAACGAAAGAAAGTGAAAATGGGACCATAAACGTGAATAGTCGGCTGAATGACGTGAGTGGGAGCGTATTTGCCATATGATAGATATGACAGTGGGTGCATTCATGAATATGTAACTTCTCACGTGTCGTTAAGCCTTTAAATCGTATCTATATGTTAAAAATAGTGAAAACTCGTATTCAAAATGATGTCAGGAAAACATATTCGATTAGAGTTATTCACTAGAATAAATACTTAAATTGGAAGTATATATCTTCAAATAACTGTTCTTTTTTAAAAATTCAACAAAATAACGATAATCATCGTAAATAAATGTTTTGTATTTGTTGAGAACAATTTTCTGACATTGCCGATACATGTTTTTGTATTTCTTGAGAACATTTTTATGACACTAGCACCGCCAATAAAAAATTGCACGGTCTTTTTATTTTTTACAAGGATAATTTAATTGTCTCTGCTAGATAAAATCACTAAGCATGCCTATATTTCAAACATATCAACCATGCAAACATAAATATTAATTCGCTAAAGAGTTTAGAGATTAAATATTCATATGTTTTATTATTACAATGTAATTCTTAGTCTCATTTAAATTGCCGGTCATTCGTAATCATCTCATTCTAAACTTGTTTCAATACAATAACACATTTCAAATATGTAATTCCTTAGTTGATTGATTCTTGGTGTTCCCCTGCTCTTTTTTTTTATTACTCTACTAGTTGTAAGACCGTATGTTATACAGGTTGTATAAAACAAAAAGTTTAAATACGAGGGTTAAACAAAAATTTGTTTAGATTTGAAATTTAAAATTTAAAATTTGAATTTAAAATGAAACATATTAAAATACTATATGAATAGTAATATTGTAATTTATTGGTTATTTTTTAATTAAGACAATTATTAATTGAGGTGTAAATATGATATGTTAATTAAGAAAAGATTAAAAAAAATGAGAAAATGACAAATAGAAAAAACATTTATTCAAAAATATTAAAAAATGACATGTGTCCAAGTTAATGATAGAGTGACATGTGACAAATTTATTTTCATTTATTAGGGAGGATGTGTTTAATATGAAAAATAGGTAAAGTAAAAAATACATCTTATAATGAATTAATATCCAAATTAATATCAATTAATGTTCTATCATGGTAAAAAAAATGATAGACTAATGAGGAACTAGAGGATATGGCCGTTTCAAGATCTTTTCACTTATAAAAGACTGATCTTGTACGTGCATTATTTTCTTTTGAATGGATTAATCTATCATATTTTGCAAAAAAGCTACCAATATCATCCCAAAAACAACTTAGAAGTGGCATATCTACTATGTCTATTATTGGTTAATTTTACTACACTTTTTGTATGGTCATTATAGTTTGTTTAATTGTTTGCTTCAATTCATATGTCTTCAAGCCAAAAAAAAACTCATTTTATTATGAAAAAGGTAACGAATTTAGGGTTTATGTTCTTTGATATTGATATGCTATTACAAGTTTACAAGGTCATTTATATATTTATATTTTTGAACCAAGTTTTAAAGTTTGCTGCAAATTTGGTCTGGATTTTGTTTGACTCCAAACTTTTTTTTTTCAAATTTATTTTTTTATATTATTTTTAAATTTTTGTAACACTTTTTACACAACCTTTTTATAGATCTTTTACAAACTTTTTTAAACTTCTTTTACAAACTTTTTTATATGTTTTTTAACTATCATTTAATATATATATATATATATATATATATATATATATATATATATATATAGTTTTATACTTTTACAACTTGTTTAAAAACTTTTTACACAACTATTTTAATATTTTTAATTCTTTTTAAACTTATTTTACTCCATTTTAAACTTTAGCAACTTTTTTTACAAACATGCTTAAACTGATTTACAACATTTTTAAAACTTTTTTTTACAACATAAGAATTTTGAAAGATATAGGTAAAAAGGTTTAATATGTTTGAAACGTTATAAAAAATGTAAGTTATAAAAAAAATGAAACTTTATTTTCTAAAAACCTGTGTTCAGCGTCGTCAAGTTAGACAAGATCTTCAACACCGACTAGGAGTGTTTTCAGATCTGAAAACGAGATCCCCGACGCCATCATCGGAACCCTAACATACATCAGTGAGGTGGGAACTAGCAGCGAACTGAAAACCACAAAATATTAGGGAGAAAAAACATAGAGCATAACCCTAAACTTTCGTCTGTCCAGCCACCGGAACCCTGACATTATCTGTCGCCGACTTTTTCGGAAAAAAAAAACAGAGAGCGTCGTCACCGCGTGAAGTCACCCCCTTCGTCTTTCCAGATCCAAGGTTCACGATGGTATCATCGATGTGTGTGTGTGTGTTGCATCTGGTTTAAAACTTCATGTGTTGGTGCTTTCAGGGAGAAGGTCTAACAAGAGAAGTGGTGATCCAGTAACTAGTATGACGATCCAGTGAGGGGTGGCGGCTCACCTAGCTCTTCTCTTTTGTAGATATCCAAAAGAGGGAGAGGGTTGCAAGAGAAGGGAAGGGGTTGTAAGATGATGGGGATGGGGAAGAGAGGGGGTTAGAGATTTATTTTATTTTATCTTTTTTTAATTGTGTAAAAAAAATAAAATGAAAATAAAGACATTATATAAGGGCAAGTAGTCATTTCAATTAGAGAGAAACTAAGGTGTTGTGTGTATTTCCGAAACGAAAATTTAAGAAGTTTGCGGACAACCTCTGTAACCTTCTACATCAGAAGATGTGGACCAAATAGTTGCAGTCTGTAATAAGAAGTTTGTTTGTTTTTTAACCTCTGCAATCTGCTGCAGTAAACTGAAATGTAAATAAACTACTTTTATAAAATTAAAATAGTTTTTCAACATTGAAATAAAATTCATTACATTTTTTTATAAAAACATTCAATAATGTTAAATACTATTTACAAATTAAATGAATTAACATTAAATTTACATTGTTTTAGCTAAATAACGTCCTTGTGAATTGCTTCAAATTGCTCTTGATTTGGAGTTCCTTCACAAAAACTTGATTCTAACATTTGGAGCAACATTATATTGGATCCTCTTTGCCTTTGCTTCACTTGCTCCACAAATACAAGTGTAATTTCAAAGAGCATAATACATCACATTTTTACTAGCATACTTCTGATTACAAGCATAGACCATTTGACCATTTGCATTTGTTGCTAGAGATGTGCAAGACCAAACACAATGCAATTAAATTAAACTTCAATATTCTCATAAGCATTTCATCGAGCACCTGTAGTGCACAACTTGTTTCCCTCTTAAATTATTACCACTAGACATATACACATCCAGCCCACTCTTTAGACATCCAATTCAGCATAACAATAAATTCAATTAATAAAACTAAAGAATTTTTCAGCAAAGATTATTGACATTTCAACTTAAAAAGAACTTCAATTGATGACATTTCAGCAAGAATGCATCATGAATTAGAAAAAAAAACGACAAGATTTGACCACTATATTCAACAAATCAGTATGAAAAATCAGCATATACTTGTATATGTTGCAGATTTCAGCAAAGATGAATCAAAATCTTGTAATCGACATATATGTGGGTGTATAACAGATTCAGAAACAATCAATTTCAACAGAATATATGACATTTCAACATAAATTTATGATAATTCAGCAAGAACTTATCATTATTTAAGATAAAAAACAACATTAGCAAAGATTTGACAACATCATCACTCAAGATTCAACAACAACAAAGATATCAACAAGGATTCAACTAAAAACGAAAAAAAAATGAAGCATGAAAGAATCGTTGCTTCAGCAACAATAAACAAAAAAAACTTACCTGATGAAGGCAGGCTGACTGACCGGTGACGGCGACGGCGACGGAGAGGAGAGAGGCTGTGTCGGGGAAGGAAGCTACGCCGGCGAAGGAGGCTGCGATCGAAGATGAAGGAGTCAATCGAAGATGCAGTCGTCGAAGGGAAGAGGGGTACGACGCTTTTTTTCTTAAGAGAAGAACTACCGATTTTTTTTAGGTTTAGGCGTGAAGAGGCAATGCAATTGATGCCCCAAACAGAACACGCGCAGAGGTTTTAAGCCTGAAGACTTTTAAAAAACAAATTGTTGCGGGA